ACAATTATAATGAAAGCTGTTATATGACACAAATGGCCTGGATGGGTACTGACCTTGGTATTTCAAAAGCATTTATAAATCATTAACATGCCCTTTGTACAACATTTTTAAACAGTAAAGACAACACATCTAGAAAGATTATTGCATCAAAGGGAGGCAACGACAGTCATTATTTAAACCCATCCAGACATCAAGCAGCCTCAGACAGTAACATGAGTACCCATCCAAAATGTGAAACCAGTTGATGCAATCATATGGAATTACAGCAAGTCTCTTGTGAATGTTTAATTCATGGTTGAGTCCTAAAGGCCAGTGCACTTTATTAAATAATGATCTTGCTGTGTCATAACACCTAACATGACATAAACAGTTTCAATTCAAGTACATTTATTTAGCTAATTTAATTTAACTAATGATTAAGAGGTATATGTTGGACTAGCCAAATAATCAGATGACATTTGACCATTTTCAGAATCATCAATCATATGATTTTTTTTTTTTTTTTTACCAAATAACAGAAGATATGGGAAATTTGTAGATGTCAGTTCCAAAATCAAAAAGTATAGTGAACTATTTTTTTCTATTTACTGAAGAAAATGTTGTGTATAATTTGGTATTTTACAACCAGACGGTGTTTATTAATCTCTCCAAAACACGTCTGGTCTAAAAACTAATGAGCAAACAGCTCGGATGTGATTAATAAAGCTCAAGGTAAAGGACGTTAAGCTGGTGTTTAGACGTTAGTTCATAATCAAGCAAACACATCAAGTCTGTCCTGTAAGCAGTTATGACAGAGCCAGAAATGAAACAACAATACACCCACAAGATTAAGATTAATAGCGAATAGTTTGTGAGGCTTTGACTATCTAGTGAGCTAGACAACATTTCAGGGTAACGTTACGCTACCTTTCATGCGTTAAAAAAAAAATCATAGTTTGTGTCGAGTTGTCTAAATAGCACCGATAATGCCCAAAAAAATACCACAGACTCGGAACGCACCTAAATGCCTGCGGATTTGTACAGCTCCTCTGACGCCCAAACATGCAGTCTGTGTCGGCAGCTCACTGGGGTTTCAGACACAGGCATTACGAGCTACAAGCTAACTCGATAGCTCGCTGCACCGAATAAACTATTTAAACTGCTGTATTGCAACCTGGCAGTCATCTAATCCTAATTAAGACGTTAAAATTTCTGTTTAATAATGTCAGTGTGGTGCAGTGACTCACTCGCTGGTGAAGTGGGCTTTCACAGATCCATTCCCCTCCTGCGCGGCGGCGCTACTGTCCGTTACTCGCGGGTGATGAGAAACACCGCAGCTGCGCCGGACTGAGTCTGTTGCCTCCTGCTGGCGGAGAGCAATATATCACCTGCACAACCTGGCACAACTCGCGCTCTCTCTCTAGTTTCCATTCAAAGTTGCATAAAATTTTACTTAGGCACAAAATTTGTGGATAAAGCCATAGATATCTATATAAAGGCTAGATGTCTCACGGCGGAGTATTTATCGTCATCACCGGCGGCCATCTTGTCACAGACAGGCTTTCTGGCGGGCTCTGTGGAAATTGATGTAAGAAATACTCTTATCTCGTTTAAATCTTGACGGATTTACAAACGGTTTGGTTTCTTACAAACATTATTAACGTGGCTATAATTCTGGATGATTATTTATTTATACACTTATTATTCAGTAGCCTATGCAGTATCATAACTACATCTCTGCCGTTTAACAAACCAGACCGTTTGAAAATTGGTAGAAAATTGAGCAAGTTACGGTGATTTAAAAAGTACATGCACCATTAAAACAAATGTTACCAGTGAGCGAGCTGCCTGTGACAAGATGGCCGACAGGTGCTGACGTCGACCTCCATTGGCCAGCAGCGTGGATATCTAGCCTTTATATAGATATCTGGATAAAGCAGCATTTCCATACAGTGAGTCGAAGAGAACAAAATCGTCACTTCCTGATAAACTGGCGTTTAATCGCATCTAATCCCACCGGTCACAATGTGACCGCATCTTTTTTTTTCTTATTTCTGTAAATGCAAGAATTTCAACTTTTAAATGACAAAATAGATTGTCTTGATTAAAATCTATTAATGTCATGTGACTAGTGTGAAAGGTCACATGACAGGATCAGTTTACTTCCTGCTTGCACATCCAAGGTGGTAATCCATCAGCCGGAAGTTGAAGTCTCACGGGAGCCGGCGTTGTAGCTGGCTATCACCTGCTGTTAGCATCCCATTGACTCCCATTCATTTTGGCGTCACTTTGACACCGAATAACTTTACATCTGAGGTGTCCAAAGACTCCATATTTTTCCATTATTTATTTCTAAAGAAACACGACAATGTATAAAACGTTCCATTACTTTGTATCTTACGTTATGGCCCCATAGATGCCGTTTTTGTGAAACATAGGCTAACGATTGCATCATCACTAAGCAACTTTCTGTCGCACAATAGAGACATTACCATATAGACAGGAGGAGAAGCTCGCAGGCAATCTTTTACTGTCTATGAGGCAATTGGGGGGACATGGAGGCATAAATTCAAGGAAGAAGCCTTTTACTGTCTATGGGAGAAGCCTAGATAGAGAGGGAGAAAATATTTCAACAACGTTTTGGCTTGGCACAGCTACTAGAAGATTTACAACTGATTTAGACTGTCGTCACGCTCAGTTTGAGCCTGCGCAGTCGCTCAGACATCAGACAGGAAATGCAAAAATCAGGCTTCAAGTCTTCTCCGTTGAAATCAGTGGGGTCGCTCTGTCCATTTCTTTTACTGTCTATGTGCACATCTAGAAGATGTTTTCCTCAGACTTCTACAATAAGTAGTATATGTATTACAAAAAGTTAGTATCTTAATTAACAGATATAGAACTATCTTATTTTTGTACATATATTCTTTAAAGGGTCTACTACTGATATATTTTGACAATTATACTCCTGCATATATATTTTGCTCGTAAGACTTGCAAATTTGTTAACAGTCACAACTGTGACCGGTCGTGCTTCAATTGAAAACACAGGTATTGGCAAATCCTAAACTGAACTCATGCCACACCTGAGGGGGATTGATGTTCCTGGAAAAGGAAAAGTGCTCACTAACACAGATTTGTGAACAATATTTGAGAGAAATAGGCCTTTTGTGTACGTAGAAAAGGTCTTAGATCTTTAAGTTCAGCTCATGAAAAATGGGGGCAAAAACAAAACTGTTGTGTTTATAATTTTGTTTAGCTATCAGTATCCCAGAAACTTTCAATGTGTTGGACGCTCTAGACGTACGTGACCCCCCCACTCTTTATGAAACCTAAAATTTCACAAATTTAACCAACGTAAAATAAAAAAAGCATATTGTTTGAGTGTTAGGGATGTCTAAGGAGTAAAACGTACTCAAGTTGCAAGAAAAAATGTGGGATTAAACGGGTTAACATCACTAAAGTAGGAGAAGCACAGACGAAACACAAATGCAATTCGGAGCCGGATGCTGCTGTTTGTGAATGCAGTCGTGTAATGAACTAGCAGAATTTCCCAGAGACCATGCTCATCTCCACTAGAAAAAGTATCAGGAGAATCTTTTGAATCTGATTTTGAGCAAAATTATGACATTTAATTTGTTGACATTAAATTATGACACAGATTAATAATATATCCAGAGGGTCATTCAAATGTGTGGCTATCAAGGTTAGTCTGTGCTTGTTTTTCAGTCATGCTGTAATTACCTCCACATATTGTAAAAACGCATATGGCAACAGGGTTGCACATAAAATGTAGGACATTAAAGGATAACTAGATGGTAAAGTTCCTATAGACAAACTTTAAGTTTTCTTGGAAATGTCTAGCCAGAAAGTTTGAAAAAGTTTTAAACTGTTCTAGCATGGTTTAACATGATTTACCATATTTCTAGTATGGTTTACCACATTGCTAGCATGTTTTAGCATGTTTTAACATGACCATGGATGGTTGGATGGATCATCAAGATTAGTTAGAAAGAGAGATTGGAGATAGATACATAGATGGATTAGTTAGAAAGAAAGAATGATATATAGGTTAGAAATAAAGAAAGATTAGTTTGAAAGAAAGAAAAGTAAAAAAGAAAGAATGGTTAGAAAGGAAGAAAGGTAAAAAAGAAAGAAAGATGGATTAGTTAGAAAGAAGAATAAAAATGAAAGAAAAAGAATGCTATGCTAAAATGCAATGCTAACGCTAGGTTACTTTTATTAACAGAAGCGCATGTCCATACATGATCCTGTGTGACCTATTTCCCCATTTTTTGAGAGCACACAAAATGTTTTCGTTGTTGCTGTTGTGTATTTGAATTTGATTAGCATCCTGACAGATTCTCAGCATTTGCTGTTAGTTAGGATAAAAAAAAACTACCTCCACTTGATCACTGATAAATTGTATAACAGCAGAATGATTGGCAGATTACAGAGATGAAGAACATAGACATAAAGAGAAATGTGTTTTTTATTACATTCACCTTACTTTGTGGCCATCTAACGTTTGTGGAAAATAAATAATACCAATCTGTAAATCCATGCCACTAGACAATGCCACTAGACAGGCTGTATCGGCCGTGCATGCCATTAAAGGGGTCATGAACTGGCTTTTTAAATTTTATTATATTGTTCTCTGAGGTCAACTTATGACGTTTCTCTTGGTTTTTACATTCAGAAACATCAAAATGAATAAGTAATAGGCTATTTTCTACCCTAGTTTTGAGCCTAGTTTAAAAACACTCGGTTTTTATGGGCATCTCGCACTGAAGACTTGGAAGTAAACGCCCATTGCTGTGAGTAGATCACAGTTTTACATATTATAATGAGTTTCAACTCACCTGTCGATGCACATGGGGGAAATTGTTTTGAAAACGTCCAATGTGGTAAAATGGCAACCGGAATTATTCGCCCATACATGTTCGACCGAGAGTCTGTGTGTTGCACAATTCCTGTCAGATCCAATATAGATGGCGCAGCACCGTTCTTTACTCTTAATCGGTCTGCAAATCCAGTTTTGTTTACAAATCAGTCCTGAGTGAAATGAAGCGAACAGACAGACAATGTGTTACCTCATCAGCTGGAACATCATTAAAAATAAAGTTTATCCATGCAGTCCTATTTGAATTCAGAGGAAGCTTATGCAGCGACTGTCTTCTTCCACAACCAGGCACTGCACAATATTTTGAATTGTTTGGTAGCTTGATCCGGTTTGTCATCACAAGGACGACAACGTAGGCCTATGTTATTTAGCTATGCGTGTAATGCGCAGCCGTGTTGAAGCAGGCGTTGATCTTCTTCTGCGGGGGTGCTGTCATAGTTCCCCACTTTGAAAAACGAGTCGTTTGCTGAGCCTGGTGTCAATAAAAGCTTTTATTGGACTAACAGGGACGTTTTCAGTTCTGAAACTTACAGGATATTCTCATAATATGATGACCTCTTAGATGCCAAAAGCTCAAGGAAAATTTGATTTCTCAGTTCATCACCCCTTTTACCATCCTGCTGGTCCATCAGGCAAAGCCACTAAAAGATCTGCACGAGGGTAGTTCTAAATCAGGATTAATGCCGAAACTGACTCTACGAGTGAAGAAGGTCACAGCACAGACTTTCGGCCATCTCTGGCTCAACCTTGCTGATATGAAGGGAGCCGACAAGGTTCGTTTTCTCACGCCTCATCTTGCAAGGTGGCCTCTTCAGTGACACCGTCCAGGACCTTGCCCAGCAGTTCTCGGCAGTCAAAAAAGCAGACGGAGGCCATCTATGCACTCCATATACTCTTTGTCGAGGGCATCAGCCTCACCAGATCTGCCACAGCCTGAGCAGCGTTGAGCCCCCTGCAGGAAAGCTATATCACCTGTCCGTTAGGCGAGTGCCAAGAACCCGAAAAAGACTTTGAAACGTGGCGAGAACTGCTCTTTCCAAGGAGGCAGTCTCCAGACCGCTCCTTCCACCGGTAGAAGGCCAAGAGGAAAATCTTTTGTTACTTTTGATTTTGCTGTCTGCCCGAAAGGCGACAGTACCCACATTTTTGGAAAAAGAGCAGCTTCCTCCTCTGGGTCACACAACTCGTAGTCTGAAAATGTTGGCTGCAACAGTTCAGATCTTATCTAAAAAGAGAAACGGTCAAAAAATGTCTGAAGTTAACTATTCCCATTGTAAGTCCTTTCTACTCCCTTAGGGTATGGAGGACTATGATGCCAAGTGGGGCGTTGGGAAGGTTATGATGTTGCAAGTGCACTTGTTACAGTAGCTTGCCAACATATGTATACATACAATCTTTGTAGTGAACATTAAAATGATAAACAGTTTAACAAGAAGTGCTCCCAGAACCCGAATTCCCAGAACATTCCCTGCAAGTCATTTTTAGATTTTATTTGTATAACCAATTAATTAAAATGTTATGATACCAATAGGCTAGAGATTATTCTAATGCTGAAATTTGTAATTTATTTATAAACAAACAACTATATAATGCTCGGACACACTCTATCTCCGTATTTTATTAAAGCCACATTTTATTATCATTAACGGGAACGGCGTTGTAAGGGGGAAACGGTAAATAGTTTGATTACTCGTTACTTAGGGGGGGCTAGGGCCTAGGGCACTCGCCTAGTGCAACCAAGGTGATAGAACCGGCCCTGAACGTCATTGTTTACTATTGTAACCTAATGGAGGGAACGAGACATTGTGTTCTTCCTGCCACAACACTGAACTACCCGATGAATGGCCAGGACACACTCTCGGCTCCTCAGCACAATCCTTAAAAGAGTAGTTCACGTTCATTTTGATGAACGAGTTTGAACAGGAGAGTCACGAACACGCATAACAGAACAGAGCAAGGCGACCATTTGAGCTTATAAACCTTAAACTTTTTTTTTTTTTTTACATGAGCGATCATTTTGCTTGATAAGACCCTTATTCATCGTCTGGAATCGTTTAAAGCCCTTTGAACAGTTTGCACTAATTTCTTTTCGACAGAAGAAAGACATGGATATAATGACATGGGGTGAGTAAATTATCAGCAAAAGTTTTTTTAAAAGTGAACTACTTCTTTAATGAGTGAATGCACACCATCTTCTTTTATGCCCATATGTTTTGCCGAGTGGTGTATACAAATTCGACTCGCCAAAAACTCACTGACCTTTTTTCAAAATATCTCCCAAGTGTGGCCCCTAGTGTCAGTACATTGACACAACATCTCGCTCCCTCCAACATGGAATGGAGGTGACAAAAGTACAATAAGTTGCTGTTAGAGGTTTTGAGTGTTAATGGTAAACCTGCATGCAGTCTGTGTTTGTCCTGATATAACAGTGTGGTGTATTGGCACTACAAACCATTTAAAAAAAAATTAACCGTTAAATAAATAATTGCTAGTTGCTACAGAATAATGTGTTACCAAATTCCAAAAAGGGCAAATCATCCGAGTCTGTTTATTGTAACCTTAAACACCCAATTGTGTGTTTTAAGAACACCAGTCTTTATGATCATGACAGTGTACACAAAGCAGGGCAAGACCTCATCAGCAAGGAAAATTTGATTTCTTTTTAGAGGGCAAAAACCGAAAGTGCATGATAAGGACCACTAAGGATTGTGTGTGTCCAAACAACACAGAACAACTGCAGCAAAGTGACAGCAAACCTCAATGTTCACCGTGTAGACCACGCTTCCACAAGAACTGACCACAGAAACTTCACAAGCCAAGATCAATGAAAATTGTAAAAAAAATAAAATAAAAAATAAATATTAAAGGTAAATTTAGTTTTTCCCAGGTGTTTAAGTAATTTTGTCCATGCAACCCTGTAACTGTCAGGTGTGTGAAGAGAGAACCCAAACGCAAAGGTGCAAAGGTGCGGAGAAGATTGATGGGACAATATGAAACGGCTGGAGCCAAATGCTATAATGAGTTTGAACGAGAGTGTGTAAGAGGATGTAAAAACGAGTATGACCAGAAGAGAGAGGCAGAGTAAAAGAGAAGGATACGAGGATCGTGACAGCAACAGGCTGAAATAATAATAAAAAAAAAACTTGAATGAAAAATTGAAACACTGTCTTCTCCCAGCACTTTCAGTATAAGTCAAGAACTAGATTAGATCAAAAACATAGCAGTGTTCACGTTGGAAAAATAGTAAAAGCAATACATTTTACAGAAAGGTTTCTTTGGCTTCAGTGAAGATCTAAGCGATCTAAGCACTCTAAGCGATGTCACACGTTTTTTAGGCCAAAATATTTTTTGTCACATACAGCAAACATCTCCTCACTATCCGCAAGCTGCCTGTCCCCTAAAGATATTAGTGTGAAGATGAAAAGGTCAATAGACCCAAAATATCTGTTTGTGAAAGACAATGGTATGACATAAGATAATGAAAACAGTAAAAATAGAAAACTTTATAAAGAATTTGCAAATATATATATACATCCATGCATAGATATTCTATTTGCTTTAAAACCTTTTAGTGCTTGGAGCTAGATGTGAAATAAAAAAAAAATTTCTAATAAAAAATATAGAATAAAATCTGCATTTTTATCAGATTATGTGAAGGAATAGTCAACAGATTAATGGATTATCGTTAGTTGCAGCACTAGATATTATGAATTATTATAATAACTTATATTAACTTTTGTTTTATTTGGTCAGCTCGTGGACATTTACTGAGCTAGAAAAACAACAAGAAAATGATGAAAAATAAAACAGATAAGAATGTTAACAACTATATGTATGTGCGTCTGAATATTCATTCTTCAACCGGATTTAATCAGATTGCAGAGTTATTTAGTAGATTCACAACCAACCAAATGCTTCTTCACAGGCCGCACTCCAATAAAACTGGCTTGTGCTCTATTCTGTGGAGGAAGGAAAAGCCACCAAAGCAGTTGAGCTCTTCAAAAATAAGACACTTTAGTGAACAAAAGAATTGAGTCGATGGAAGAATGGTGTGTTCACTTTAACACAGATTCATTCATGAACCCAGTTCCTAACAGTGATGCTGGCCTTAACAAACACCATACACACAAAGATGAGTAATGTGTATATACAGTATATACATAGAGAAATAAATGAAGATGATAATGATAATTGGAGAATTATATAATACATGTAACATAGAGTTCTAGCTGACTTCTGCTGATATCAACTGTTGTTTACATTTAAATCATCCTCAGCACTGCATGTCAGTCCAGTAGATTGTGTTTATTTTTGAAATCATCACAACTCTTTCTGAAGCCTTGAAGCCTGAACACACTTGCTGCAAGCTCTCACAACTCAATCAAACTCTTCACAACTCGATCAAGCTCTTCACAACTTACGAAATTGGTAAGTCTTAGTGATTTGTCCAGTCTTTGTAGTTGTACTTGATCCACTATCATGGAGCCGCGTCGGTCAAGAAGATCCAGGACTCTTCCTGCACACCTGAGGGGATTCGTGGTGGAGGACGTCTCTTCGGGATCAGACCCATGTGAGCCTTCACAGCTGGCAGTCAGGTTGGACCACACGTATAGCTGCATCTCTGCCAGAGCTCCAAGACCCACACTTTTGGAAGAGCGCTACCTGAACAACGCTGCTGTCCTTCCCGACATCTGTCCGGCCGTCTCGGTTTCTTCAGTGGACGCCTGTCAGGAGGATGATCCAGTCACCATCCACGGCCACAGCATAGAAGCCTACCAGGACATCTACCGCTCTGTGGTGGAGGCCATGCTGAAGACACCCAGTGGTCGGCGGCGTCCCTACAGCCTTGAGCTGGGACAGAAGATCAAGCAGCGGCTGTGGAAGGCCCTCAACTGCCCCTCAGTGGTGGAGACGGAGCAGCCTGACGGACGTGTCCTGATCACAGAGAGCTTCTCCACACCCAGCAGACGCCTCGCTCCTCGGATCAACGTGGACATCAGCGAAGAGCCCCTGCCTGAGGAACCCCGAAGAAAGAAGCCCAGACACTGAGTCATCACAGTGTCACATGGAGCCCGGAGTATCACACAGCGGGACCACTGAATGTAAATAGTTACTATAGAGTGAGTTTAGAGTTTTATGAGTAAGTTTTATTTTGTACAGTTTACAGTTTTATGAGTAAGTTTTATTTTCTTGAGGTGTTTTGTTGTGTTGTGCGGTTGTTTGGATGTTTTTGCTCATTGTCAATGCGTTGATACGGTGCGCGATGCGGTTCACGGGTTGTTCTAAGTGGTTTACGGTTCACGGGTTGTTCTAGGTCCTTTGCTCTGTAGGCGTCGGGTTGTTTTGGGCGGTTTCCTGTGTGTTGGAATGCGTTTGCAAGGATTTTTGTGCGGTTGTCAGCGTGTTGTTTTACGGTTGCTGGACTTTTCTGAGTAGTTGTTCATGCTTTGATGTCGTTGTCAGGAAGTTTAGAGCGGTTGGTTGATTTGCGGTTGGTTTTAAGCAGTTGTTGTTGTTGGTTAGGGTAGGTTAGGGTCCCTCACTCGGTTTGCAGCTTGATGTGCTGTGAGGGCTTGTGTGCATCAGTGATGCTGAGAGCTACGCCTCTGGTACTTCACAACTACTGGTAGGGTCACCCATAGAGGACAGGTCTCAGCTGAGATGCCAGACGAAGACAAACCACCTGATTCTGGACAAGAGCAGACTGACCTGATGTTTCTGGCAGAAGCTCTCAGTCTAGTAGCTGGAGATGGAGATGCAGAGGAGATGAAGATGCAGAGGAGATGGAGATGGAGAGAAGATGGAGATGCGGAGGAGATGGAGATGCAGAGGAGATGGAGATGGAGAGAAGATGGAGATGCGGAGAAGATGGAGATGCGGAGGAGATGGAGATGGAGAGGAGATGGAGATGCAGAGAAGATGGAGATGCAGAGGAAATGGAGATGAGGAGATGGAGATGGAGATGCAGAGAAGATGGAGATGCGGAGAAGATGGAGATGCGGAGGAGATGGAGAGGAGATGGAGATGCAGAGAAGATGGAGAGAAGATGGAGATGGAAAGGAGATGACCATCGGCAGGCTAAGTATCTTCTCAAATCTCTTAAGATGGAGATTCTGGGAAGATGGAGATGGAGGGGAGATGGAGATGCAGAGGAGATGACCATCGGCAGGCTAAGTATCTTCTCAAATCTCTTAAGATAGAGATTCAGGGAAGATGGAGATGGAAAGGAGATGGAGATTCAGAGGAGATGACCATTGGCAGGCTAAGTATCTTCTCAAATCGCTTAGGATGGAGATTCAGGGAAGATGGAGATGGAGAGGAGAGGGAGATTCAGAGGAGATGACCATTGGCAGGCTAAGTATCTTCACAAATCTCTTAAGATGGAGATTCAGGGAAGATGGAGATGGAGATTCAGAGGAGATGAAGAGGCTTTTCAAGTCGAAGTCGAAGCAGACTGAAGAGATGAAGATGCTGCCTCAGAAGTTACTGGTAAGTTTAAGTTGCTGTTTGCATAAATAAAAAAGCTCACTGTTTAGTTTTTTAATCTCAAAAAATCTTTTTAAAATCTACGTGGAGACATTTGTTTGTCTTAAAAAAAAATACAAAAAATTGTCCAATGCATTTGCAAAAAAAAACATAATTAGTCATTATAACATGTACAACATTGCATTAACATTCTTTTTATTTGTAAAATAAAGCTGTGTCTTTATTTCTGATTTCCTGAAAAATTTGGCTTCATTATGTAAATGATCTTTCTTTGAAAAGTTTGGGGGGGGGGGGGGGGGGGGGGGGGGGGGGGGAGATACACATTTTATGAACAAAGTTACTTTGTCTTGAGCTGACCAATAATGGTAGTGTGTGTTGATTGGTGTTTATAATAGTTCAAGCTTGACAACCTTATTGCCGTGCATATATAACTCTTTTATTTTTCTTCATATTAAAGGGTTAGTTCACCCAAAAATGAAAATTAAGTCATTAATTACTAACCCCCATGCTGTACCAACCCCGTAAGACCTTCGTTCGTCTTCGGAACACAAATAAAGATATTTTTGATTAAATTTGAGAGCTGTATAACTACCACATTGGCTCCTAAAGGACTGCCTCTTGACGGCCCAGAAAGTCAATAAAGAAAATGTTTAAATATCCCATGTGACTACCGTGGCTCAACTATATGTTTATCAAGCGACGCGAATACTTTTTGTGCGAAAAAACAAACAAAAATAACGAGTTTATTCGACTATTTCTTTTCTTCCTTGTAGGCCAGAACGAGACTTCCTTAGATTTCCACGACGCATGCGCGAGAACTGCGATCTGAAGTGGTGTAAGCTGATGTAAGCAGATCGCAAATCTCGCGCATGCGTCGTGGAAATCTAAGGAAGTCTCGTTCTGGCCTACAAGGAAGAAAAGAAATAGTCGAATAAACTCGTTATTTTTGTTTGTTTTTTCGCACAAAAAGTATTCGCGTCGCTTGATAAACATATAGTTGAGCCACGGTAGTCACTTGGGATATTTAAACATTTTCTTCATTGACTTTCTGGGCCGTCAAGAGGCAGTCCTTTAGGAGCCAATGTGGTAGTTATACAGCTCTCAAATTTAATCAAAAATATCTTCATTTGTGTTCCGAAGACGAACGAAGGTCCTACGGGGTTGGTACAGCATGGGGGTGAGTAATTAATGACTTAATTTTCATTTTTGGGTGAACTAACCCTTTAATATTTGTAGTTTTTCAGACAGCAGACAGAATATAGCCAAAGCTTTTAAAGGTAAACTGAGAAGTCAACAGAAATAATTTTATTTATATATATATATATATATATATATATAATCAAACATGGATATAAAAATGTCAATCATTTGTTAATTTGATTTAATTATTCTTCCCTTTTTTCTGATAAAGCGGTCTTCAAATACTACAAGCCCCAGTTGTAGAAGACGAGTCGAACTCAAAGAAGCTCGCAATCTGTGGACCAGTCTGGCATTCAACAACCAGCCCAAGCCCAGCAGTTTGCAGTCAGCACATTTCCGTTACCAGTCTGTGGTTCAGCCTAGTGGCCTGCAGTCAGCACTTACCCGTTATGTGTCCCGGTCCATCAGTCTGCAATTAATACAAGTTCGCCACCAGCCGGTGGACCAGTACAGCAGTCTGCAGGCAACATAATCCAGCTACCAGTCTGTGTTTTAGCCCAGCAGTCTACAGTCAGCACAATCCTGTTATCAGTCTGTGGACTGGCCCAGTGGTCGGCGGTCAGCACAAGCATGACACCAGTCTATGTCTAGGCAACCCCGATTCCAGATTAAGTATTAGCACAGTTAAAGGCACTGACTATGAATGTAATCTGAAGATAACATATTGTGTATGTACTTCAAAAAGATATCACAGTTTCTGTATAAAAAAATAATAATAATAATAATAAGAAATAAATAAAGTTGTCCTCCGAAGAGGGGGGGGGGGGGGTGGAGGTGGGAGAATTAAAAAAAAGAAGTGATCGTCCACATGATGATGAAGATGTGACCTTCAAACTCTTCTGTTTCTTTGGTTCAGCCATTTGTAGGCCTAAGTTTGTAAATAATGCATTTTCACTTCTTCACAGAAAATTGCATTGTGATGCTTATTTAGTGATGTAAAATTCATAGTGTACTTTTCAGTTATAAAAAATGTATAAATATAGCTCTGCCATAACATTTCACTGATATTTCAAATTTACTTTTGTTTCTTTTTTTACTCTTATGTAATTTACACAAGATATACTATATTAAAGTTTTCTTGATTTTCAAAGTCTGTTTATGTCTTGATGTATATAAGTATGCCTATATTTAATTATTTTTGCACGTTTAATATACCATTTTAAATACTGAATAAAACGGCTTTATAAAAACCCTAGCGAGAAAAAAAGTATGCTAAGTATTCTTCAAGTGTGTTAATGATTAGTTAACTTGAAGTGTGCAATTTTGGATATTTTTTTTGTACTAAGTGTATTTAAGTTATAATAAAATTATACAAAAGTATAACTTTATGTGTATTTAGTGTACTTTTACTTATGCACTTAAAGTATACTAAGTATACTTGAAATTGTCTCAATTAACATCAAAAGGTACACTAAATAGACTTAAAGTTATACTTTAGTATAATTTTATTATAGCTAAAACACACTTACAGAAAAAAAAATCAAAAATAGCACACTTCAAGTTAACTAATCATTAACACACTTGAAGTATTCTGACATTTAGTCTGGCTGCAAGTATACTTGGCATACTTTTTTTTCACTAGGGAAGAGAGTTACCCCAACCCCTGCTTAATATTCATGACATCAGCAATCAAAAGTTATGCTAAAGATACTTTATGGGTAAGTTCCTATATTATATAGTCACCAATCACAACTTTAAACCGTTAAGAAATCATTTGACCATAACCTATACAATTGCCCATCAAGTATTTGAACCAGAGTAAATCTCCCACTTATACTGAAGACCATAAGTCGCTGGTTCTAGAAGTGTTAAATAAGGTCTGCTGTTGAATTACACAGGAAGATGGGCCTCCAGGAGCAGGGCCTGACTCCCCTAACACAAAACTGTAATGCCTTAAAAGAGATGGAAAACCTTATACGCACAGTTTGTTGACCACCTCCTTGAGGTCATTGGTCTGGACCTCACGAGTCACGATTTCCATCATCTTCTAGCGGATCTGACGGACCTGCTGGTGCTGAGCATGGGTCTTTCTGATCTGGTGCTCTTCTTGGTGAAGCCCACGCAGACCAGGAGGAGAAGATAGCCATCAGTGGTCATCACATCAGCATGGGCCTCAATCATTGTCTAATGAGAAAGTCAATCAACATTTTAAAGTGGCCTGCACAAAAAAATCAAAAATAGCTGCAGTAGACAGAACTTTTTCCAATTAGGCAAGTACTTAATTCCCAAAACTAAAGATGTAATAAAGGAACTTGCATCAAGATCTTAGAACACCACAATTCAACAACACAATACCAATCTTGAAAATACTTTTTGGAATGTGAAACTATATTGAATATATTATATTAGTAAGCCTACATAAAAAAGAGGAAATGGTCACAACTTCAAAATTCTAAAAAAAAAAAAAAAAAAAAAATCTCAAAATCTTTAGATTTATTTATTATTAATAACAACCATAATAATAATTATGTAGATAATATAGATATACGGGGTTTCAGGGCTTCTTTAAACCTAATTACAACTTCACTATGATCCACTTTGTCCCTCTCTATGGCTGAGGAGTCTCTCCTCTAAGCAAAGGATTCAGAGTTGGTTAAAAAAATTAGTGGTGTTAATAAATTAGGTGTATCAGCAATCATAAATCAAGAAATATAGAAATATATGTTAGGCGATGAGGATCACTTTGCGTAATGACTCGTAATCACTCACTTTGTAGTTCCAGTATGAAACAGCGCGGGGGCGCACCTGTGCTTATGATTGTTATATATATATTGTAAAATACATAGGCCTATGGTTAAAATCGCTTTCTATAAAAAAATTAAATGCTACTGTATGCACACGCTATTATTGGCTATTACTGTGGCAAATGCTAGCAAAGCCATCTCTCTCAGGGGTCCCACATATCTTAATCAGACATCAAATAAAATAAAATATGAGCTTTTAGACAACGTGTTTAGTACTTATTCAAACAACAAGATCTTCGTTTACCGTTGCAAAAGTTCGTTCAGCTGCCGTCTCACCCGTCTGCTGTGCTGTCGCTGCAGAGCTTCAGTTGATTCGGTCAAGGCAAAGGGGGCGGAGTTATCAGCTTTACTGACAGTTTGAGGATCGAACAAGATTTACACAGCTTTTTTTTTTTTTTTTTGAGGAGAAATCTGCCACATGTGAAAATCTGCTGTATTGCTCACATCATTTCAGATGTCGTAGACTCTCATCAGCACTTTTGAATTGCGCCTGCTCGAACTGGATTTTTCATAATTTCTGTCTGAAAATGTAGTCTTAGCCCAATGCATACTCCTAAACCCAACCCTTCCCATAATTATCCTCAAAATCAGACAGAACTGATGTGAATAACATGTAGAAGCAACTAACTCTGGTTGCCTAAACTTGATATAAAAAAATAAACTTGTACCTCAAACTTGACTGTTTGATGGGAATGTTGTTTCAGGATTAACAAAGATGTTGATCCAGGAACATGTTGCACTTGGTGAAATCAGTCATAGAAGGAAGGAGTCATAGAAGTTGAGAGAAGCACTGGCATTGAGTGAGTAGCGCCCTCTACTGTTTGTCTTTTAACAAGATGAGAGATTTGATCAGGTAAATTCTCATATGCTTTATATTTGGCAATTGTCACTATAATAGAATAAAAGTATATGTGTAAGTTCACATACAGACCTTGACTTACACAACAGCTGGTGGATTAAAAAAACAAGCAGAACATTTAATGATTAGTAATTATAATGTGAAGATGAAAAGGTCAGTAGACCCAAAATATCTGTTTGTGAAGGACAATGGCCAAACATCAAGATGCAGATCAGTCAATAGAAAACTTTATAAAAAAGTTTCAATATATATATATATATATATATATATATATATATATATATATATATGATGACAATTTCCTTCATGCAGCACCACATTTACAAACACATACTGAACATTCATACATGCATACATATTCTTTTTGCTTTAAAAATCTTTCAGTGCCTGGAGCTAGATGTGGAATAAAAAAAAAATACAAAACATAATAAAATTGTTTTTAATCAGATTATGTGAAGGAATAATCAACAGATTAATGGATTATCGTAGTTGCAGCCCTAGATATTATGAATTATTATATTCACTTTTGTTTTATTTGGTCAGCTATTGGACTTTTACCTATCTAGAAAAACAACAAGAAAAAGATGAAAAATAAAACAGATAAGAATGTTAACAACTATATGTATGTGCGTCTGAATATTCATTCTCCAAACGGATTTAATCAGATTCCAGAGTTATTTAGTAGATTCACAACCAACCAAATGCTTCTTCACAGGCCGCACTCCAATAAAACTGGCTTGTGCTCTATTCTGTGGAGGAAGGAAAAGCCACCAAAGCAGTTGAGCTCTTCAAAAATAAGACACGTTAGTGAACAAAAGAATTGAGTCGATGGAAGAATGGTGTGTTCACTTTAACACAGATTCATTATTCATGAACCCAGTTCCTAACAGTGATGCTGGCCTTAACAAACACCATACACACAAAGATGAATATATATATATATATATATATATATATATATATATATATATATATATATATAATATATATATATATATATATATATATATATATAATATACATACATAGAGGAATAAATGCTGACTTCTGCTGTCATCAACTGTTGTTTACATTTAAATCATCCTCAGCACTCTGTCAGTCCAGTAGATTGTGTTTATTTTTGAAATCATCACAACTCTTTCTGAAGCCTTGAAGCCTGAACACACTTGCTGCAAGCTCTCACAACTCAATTAAACTCTTCACAACTCGATCAAGCTCTTCACAACTCGATCAAGCTCTTCACAACTTACGAAATTGGTAAGTCTTAGTGATTTGTCCAGTCTTTGTAGTTGTACTTGATCCACTATCATGGAGCCGCGTCGGTCAAGAAGATCCAGGACTCTTCCTGCACACCTGAGGGGATTCGTGGTGGAGGACGTCTCTTCGAGATCAGACCCATGTGAGCCTTCACAGCTGGCAGTCAGGTTGGACCACACGTATAGCTGCATCTCTGCCAGAGCTCCAAGACCCACACTTTTGGAAGAGCGCTACCTGAACAACGCTGCTGTCCTTCCCGACATCTGTCCAGCCGTCTCAGTGTCTTCAGTGGACGCCTGTCAGGAGGATGATCCAGTCACCATCCACGGCCACAGCATAGAAGCCTACCAGGACATCTACCGCTCTGTGGTGGAGGCCATGCTGAAGACACCCAGTGGTCGGCGGCGTCCCTACAGCCTTGAGCTGGGACAGAAGATCAAGCAGCGGCTGTGGAAGGCCCTCAACTGCCCCTCAGTGGTGGAGACGGAGCAGCCTGACGGACGTGTCCTGATCACAGAGAGCTTCTCCACACCCAGCAGACGCCTCGCTCCTCGGATCAACGTGGACATCAGCGAAGAGCCCCTGCCTGAGGAACCCCGAAGAAAGAAGCCCAGACACTGAGTCATCACAGTGTCACATGGAGCCCGGAGTATCACACAGCGGGACCACTGAATGTAAATAGTTACTATAGAGTGAGTTTAGAGTTTTATGAGTAAGTTTTATTTTGTACAGTTTACAGTTTTATGAGTAAGTTTTATTTTCTTGAGGTGTTTTGTTGTGTTGTGCGGTTGTTTGGATGTTTTTGCTCATTGTCAATGCGTTGATACGGTGCGCGATGCGGTTCACGGGTTGTTCTAAGTGGTTTACGGTTCACGGGTTGTTCTAGGTCCTTTGCTTGGTAGGCGTCGGGTTGTTTTGGGCGGTTTCCTGTGTGTTGGAATGCGTTTGCAAGGATTTTTGTGCGGTTGTCAGCGTGTTGTTTTACGGTTGCTGGACTTTTCTGAGTAGTTGTTCATGCTTTGATGTCGTTGTCAGGAAGTTTAGAGCGGTTGGTTGATTTGCGGTTGGTTTTAAGCAGTTGTTGTTGTTGGTTAGGGTAGGTTAGGGTCCCTCACTCGGTTTGCAGCTTGACGTGCTGTGAGGGCTTGTGTGCATCAGTGATGCTGAGAGCTACGCCTCTGGTACTTCACAACTACTGGTAGGGTCACCCATAGAGGACAGGTCTCAGCTGAGATGCCAGACGAAGACAAACCACCTGATTCTGGACAAGAGCAGACTGACCTGATGTTTCTGGCAGAAGATCTCAGTCTAGTAGCTGGAGATGGAGATGAAGAAAAGATGGAGATGCAGAGAAGATGGAGATGCAGAGGAGATGGAGATGGAGAGAAGATGGAGATGCAGAGGAGATGGAGAGAAGATGGAGATGCGGAGGAGATGGAGATGCGGAGGAGATGGAGATGGAGAGAAGATGGAGATGGAGATTCAGAGGAGATGGAGAGGAGATGGAGATGCAGAGGAAATGGAGATGCAGAGGAGATGGAGATGCAGAGAAGATGGAGATGCAGAGAAGATGGATATGCAGAGAAGATGGAGATGCGGAGAAGATGGAGATGCAGAGAAGATGGATATGCAGAGAAGATGGAGATGCGGAGGAGATGGAGATGCGGAGGAGATGGAGATGGAGAGAAGATGGAGATGGAGATTCAGAGGAGATGGAGAGGAGATGGAGATGCAGAGGAAATGGAGATGCAGAGGAGATGGAGATGCAGAGAAGATGGAGATGCAGAGAAGATGGATATGCAGAGAAGATGGATATGCAGAGGAGATGGAGATGCAGAGAAGATGGATATGCAGAGAAGATGGAGATGCGGAGAAGATGGAGATGCAGAGAAGATGGATATGCGGAGAAGATGGAGATGCGGAGAAGATGGAGATGCGGAGGAGACGGAGATGCGGAGGAGATGGAGATTCAGAGGAGATGACCATTGGCAGGCTAAGTATCTTGTCAAATCTCTGAAGATGGAGATTCAGGGGAGATGGAGATGCAGAGGAGATGGAGATTCAGAGGAGATGACCATCGGCAGGCTAAGTATCTTCACAAATCTCTTAAGATGGAGATTCAGGGAAGATGGAGATGGAGATTCAGAGGAGATGAAGAGGCTTTTTAAGTCGAAGTCGAAGCAGACTGAAAAGATGAAGATGCTGCCTCAGAAGTTACTAGTAAGTTTAAGTTGCTGTTTGCATAAATAAAAAAGCTCACTGTTTAGTTTTTTAATCTCAAAAAATCTTTTTTAAAATCTACGTGGAGACATTTGTTTGTCTTAAAAAAAATACAAAAAATTGTCCAATGCATTTGCAAAAAAAACATAATTAGTCATTATAACATGAACAACATTGCATTAACATTCTTTTTATTTGTAAAATAAAGCTGTGTCTTTATTTCTGATTTCCTGAAAATTTTGGCTTCATTATGTAAATGATCTTTCTTTGCAAAGTTTGGGGGGGGGGGGAAGTGGGGGGGGGGATACACATTTTATGAACAAAGTTACTTTGTCTTGAGCGGACCAATAATGGTAGTGTGTGTTGATTGGTGTTTATAATAGTTCAAGCTTGACAACCTTATTGCCGTGCATATATAACTCTTTTATTTTTCTTCATATTAATATTTGTTGTTTTTCAGACAGCAGACAGAATATAGCCAAAGCTTTTAAAGGTAAACTGAGAAGTCAACAGAAATAATTTTATTTATATATATATATATATATATATATATATATATATATATATATATATATATATATATAATCAAACATGGATATAAAAATGTCAATCATTTGTTAATTTGATTTAATTATTCTTCCTTTTTTTCTGATAAAGCAGTCTTCAAATACTACAAGCCCCAGTTGTAGAAGATGAGTCGAACTCAAAGAAGCTCGCAATCTGTGGACCAGTCTGGCATTCAACAACCAGCCCAAGCCCAGCAGTTTGCAGTCAGCACATTTCCGTTACCAGTCTGTGGTTCAGCCTAGTGGCCTGCAGTCAGCACTTACCCGTTATGTGTCCCGGTCCATCAGTCTGCAATTAATACAAGTTCGCCACCAGCCGGTGGACCAGTACAGCAGTCTGCAGGCAACATAATCCAGCTACCAGTCTGTGTTTTAGCCCAGCAGTCTACAGTCAGCACAATCCTGTTATCAGTCTGTGGACTGGCCCAGTGGTCGGCGGTCAGCACAAGCATGACACCAGTCTATGTCTAGGCAACCCCGATTCCAGATTAAGTATTAGCACAGTTAAAGGCACTGACTATGAATGTAATCTGAAGATAACATATTGTGTATGTACTTCAAAAAGATATCACAGTTTCTGTATAAAAAAATAATAATAATAATAATAAGAAATAAATAAAGTTGTCCTCCGAAGAGGGGGGGGGGTGGAGGTGGGAGAATTAAAAAAAAGTGATCGTCCACATGATGATGAAGATGTGACCTTCAAACTCTTCTGTTTCTTTGGTTCAGCCATTTGTAGGCCTAAGTTTGTAAATAATGCATTTTCACTTCTTCACATTATTTTCCTGAAAC